GGGCACCCCCGTCCCACCCCGCCCCGTCACTCCCCCACCTCGTCCCGCCCCACCTTATACGGGGCGGGGCGGGTTCGGGGTGCGAACTTGCCCCATTTCCTACCCTGTTTATTTATTTTTTATTTTAACTATTTTATGTTTTTAATTTGTAATTAATTATTTTTTTAATTCTTCATGGGGCGGGTTCGGGGCTCTTCGGGGCGGGGCACCCCCGCCCCGCCCCTCCCCTCCCCACCAACCCATCGGGGCGGGGCGGGGCGGAGCATTGCCATCACTAGAATTTAGGGTCCGTTTGATTGCAATGGTGAAAAATGAGTAAAAATAAAATGAATTTCAGAGAAAATAATTCTCTAAAATTGTTTTAAAGAGAATTCTTAATTAAGTGTGTTTAATTGATATAATTTTTCACCCGAAAAATTTTAAAATTTTGTGTTCTTTTAACTTTATTTTACGTGGAAATTGTCCATTAAAGTGATATTTTTTTTTCATAATTGGTCATGAAATTTATTTCTATTGCCAAAAAATAAAAAAACAACGAAATTTTTTTTTTATCAAAGTTTAGTATTCGTTTGTCTTTGTTTTATATGAAAATTGTCTACTATAGTGAATTTTTTTTTTTACAATTGGTTATGAAATTTGTTTCCATTGCAAAAAGAAAAACTGGAAAAAATTTTCTCATCAAAATGGTGAGAAAACAAATTCACCAAATTCAAGGAAATAGTGCACGTAGGAGGAAAATGAGGAAAACAAATTACCTAGAAAAAAATGCTTATCAAACAAGCCAATTGGGTGGAAAATGAAATCATTTTCCATTTTCCAAGGAAAATTGGAGCTATCAAACACACTACAAATATATTATTTGTACTACTAAGAATAGAAGCGTCTAAGATATCGTATGTGTTTGAACCAATATTTTAAAAAGTTCATCTAAGCGCGAAGCGTGAGCAAAATGTCTCGCTTCGGGCCTATGCACTTTTTTTGGCGCAAAGGTGCACTTTTTTTTTTTCCAATATAGTATTTTATAATTTTAGATATTTGGTAGGTATTATTTTAATTAATAAATAATCTTTAGATTGATTAAAAATTAAAAATAATATTTAAATAAGAAACGCTTTTTTACATCTAGGTCTCGCTGCCTCTAAATTTGACATCCACGTCTAGCCACACTTTGCACTTTTTAGAACACTGATTTGAACCACATTTTTTTGAAAAAATTACATTATGTAATAGTGACTTTTGAAAATTGTGTAGTTAAAATGTATAAATTTTCTAGTAAAACTATATCAATGAAAAATGTGTTATTTAAAATGAGAGGGAAAAAAATTGAGTTGTTATGAAAGAGGGTCAAACGAGGGCATTAGATCATTGATGATGTCTACCATGGAGTACTTAAACGTTTTTTATTTAAGTATTGTCTAGTTATGTTTTATTCTCCTTATGTTCGGTTGGGATTTTTAGTAAAAATCTCTTACTCTACAATCAGAGCTAATTGAATATTAAATATTTTTACCTCAGCAAATCACGTCCCCGTTTGAAAATTAAAATTTTCAAAATGCAATTTAATTGTCGATAGGTATCCAACCCGTGAAACAACACAAATAATGTTTTATATACTAGTAGCAAGAAACAAAAACAATATTTAGGAATATACAAATGAGCGGTGAATAAATAGATCATTCTAAATGTGCGAATCAAATTAGGATAATTATATTACCACCACAAAATTTAATTACTACACCACAATTAAAATATATTTGCAATAAATATACAACAATAAATTTATAATTATACTCATAATCTAATAAAAACAAAAATGAAAAAAACAATATTGTGGTGTACTCATACTTTACTCCTCATTTTTTTCGTCATTTTCACCAGTGATTTTTTGAAAGGCACAAACTCGGTCGTCTTCCTCATGTATATGTATGTATATCCATATATGTAAGTATATCCTCCTCATGTCCCTTTACTCGTGTATGTATACCTTCCTCATCTTCATCATGTATATCCAGTGACAGATTCAAGATATTAAGTCAGTTAAGGCGGTCATTGATGACCGTAACAGTAAGATTGTTTATTAATATTTTATTAAATAATATTTAAAAATTTTCAATTAACATATAAATACACTAAAACGTAAAAGTCATATACATTTAAAAATATAATCTAATACAACCTAAAATAATAAGAAAAAAATATATTTTTCAATCATATATGTATGATTAAGTTTCAAGTTTTTTTACGAATTTAAATAAAACAGTTTATACATAAACCATGATTAAATAGTAAAGACAAGCTCTGAGTTTAGGAGAAGGTTATGCAAAATTTTGAAAACAGTGATTTTTAGAATTGAAACTATTTTTACCCCAAAAGAAAAAGTGTTTTCTGAACTCTTAAAAGAATAAAGAGTATCACTCAGATTGTCCAAATTTGGATTTTATAAAATAATAAAACATAACAATAAAAGTGTGTGTGTATGTGTGTATTTATTGTTTAGTTATTATTTATTGTATTAAAAAATAAAAAATGTGAAAGTGCATAGAATTGAACCTCATACCTCTCACTAACAAAATGACCACTCTACGATATGAGCTACACTCATTTTTTGTTAAATATTGGTACAATTATTAGTTAATATTTAATTATTATTTATTGTATTTAAAAATTGAAAGGAGGAACAATGTAGGAGGGAATTGAACCCAAGCATCTCACATGAAAAGGCAAATACTCTTCTATATGATCCACATGTCATTTCAATAAATGTTGTACAATAACACAGACGCGTGTACACACACACATAATCTTAATTAATCGTTTTTCCTGATGGATCCAGCACAAGTGATCGCGCCGACTCACCAAGTGTTGGATTTACCGCTGTGTATATCTGTATGTATACCTTCCTCGTGTCCCTCTCCTTTTGGATACCCATAATATAAAGTTTAAATCAAGATTTTGCAGTCTTATCATCTAAAATATGGAAAATAAACCACAATAATATCAACCTATATTCTAACCACAATTCTGGCTTTACTTTTTTCGTTGGATAAAGCTACTTTGTCGGATGGATTTGACAGAAAAATTGACATAATTGCATGTGGCAATAGATGATTTGATGAAAAAGTTGACTAGTCATGTTTTAAACTGTCAAATAATAGAATATCAAGTAATATTATGCTAAATTTTATGTCGACCTTGATGTTCATGTAGCATGATTACCATTGATAAGAAATAAAGAAATAGTAAACAAACCAATCAAAAGGTTGGTTAAATCAACATGACCCTCTTGGAGGAAATTTTTTGCCAAACGAATTCAAACAACTCAAAGTAAGAATAATTCAAAGTTGAATTAGAAATTGAAATCGTAAGGAGCTTTCTAATCTAAAGATAAACCCAATTAAGCCCTTGTTTGGCCTCCATTTTAAAGAGGTTTTGCAAAAAATATTTTCCAGAATAGTAATATCTTGGAGAATGTATGGTTAAAAAGTAAGAAAAAATATTGAGTTTACGTGTAATATTATTTTATTGAAAAATATGTGGTTAAAAATGTGTTTTGAAAAAATATATTTTTGATTTAATGGAGTCCAAACAAGGGCTAAGCAAGTGAT